ACTGTACAGTAACTTTGTTTACCGAATTTTTCAAATATCGATTCAGGAACAACAAAATACAGCACAAACTTCCTATGACCAACAATCTTTTTCCATTCTTCAAGCACAGCCATTTTGGCACCATGATGTAAAGATATTGTAATTTGGAATAATCCAACTGTGGGTATTAAGGAGTTGAATGTTAAGAAATTTCTTGCTATTGGTCGCCAGTAGTCATCAATTTTGGGGTCAATATTGGAAAGAGTTCTGTAAAGTCGTTGAGTCCTATTTGCAAACCGGATGCTAGAAACTGTATCCTCGTCAATTTTTCTAATATCAAAGTTTCCTCCATTTTTTAACATATTGTGAACATATCCTTCAAATAACTGTCCACAAAGTGAACTTGTCATACTATCACCATCACTGGCCACTAGAAAACGATGAAGGGATTCATGTTGTTGTAGAGCAAACCGCGTAGCAATTTCTTGAGCAACATAGGGAGATGCGTATTTCATAGCTGTCAAAGTATAGTTTGAGGTAACTATGTGAAGAATTCGATGACTTATGTCTTCTGGACTTTTGTGTTCGCCAATGCTCCATAAGCACTTTTCCAAGTCAGCGCTCGCAATTGCTTTTTCTAACAGTGCATCCTGTGACGGATCATCACATTTCTCCAGCACATATCTCGGAATGCCACCCCAATGATCATAAAGTGTTGTCAACTTGTCATCATTAATACCGGTATAAAGAGCATCTCTACATTTTACAATTTCTTCCCAAGTCCAAGGAGGCATATATCTTATTGTCGAGTTTAACATTTTACGAAATTCTTTGTAAATTTTTGGACTTGGAGAGCAGACGAGGATAGTGATAGCAGGGACCTGAGTAGGTGATTCTGTATCAAGGAGATACCAGGTATCAGGATTAGCCAGGAGGGATGTGACGTTTTCATAATAAGGTGTTCTGAAGAGAAATTGGTTTGTAAGCTCATATGTTGTTGCAAAAGAGGACATAGAAACTGAAGAACTTACATAGATGCATTATTCCCCTCAAAGACTAGGAATTCTCGATCAACATTGTGCTTCATCACAATAGTAGCATTTTTAAGATGAAGAACATATAACAAATACAATAGGAAGTAACTTTTGCCAATACCAGGAGTGCCCGTAATGGTAAATCGGTGGTATAGTCCAGATTGGACGGATGACTGTATATTGGCTATAATATCACTATATACTTGTCGAATGATGAGTTTTTGTGGGTAGTGTCGGTCGCCTAGAAAGTAGATGTCCGGTGGAAGATAAAGAATTTGGTTGCTGATAGATGATTTGGTTATGCAATTCCAGAACTTGGCAAGATTCGGGAATATGGTCTCATCTAGTTCGAATTTCTGCTTCAATGGGGCAACTGCAGACATGATACATGAATAGAGAAGAGAGATGTAATAGTAATACAAACAAAAAAGGTCAGTATGGCTGTGGTACTCATAATATCAGAGAATAACATTTCTATGTCTACTTTATGTCCCTAATGCCCGAGCCACAAAGTTGTTACCTGTTTGAGTAGCTACTAATGTTTTTTGCAGGCAAGACACAGATGGGATGATGGATGGATGGATGGGGAATAAAAAAGAGACAGTAGAAGATGAATAGAGATAAGAGATAACATGAAATACACAGTATGCTAACCAACAGCAAGGTACCAAAAAAACTAAAAGTTGTAGGGAAGTGTCCAGGACTAGGCAAATTGTTATGCTCTATTCTATTCTATTCTATTCTATTCTATTCTATTCTATGCTCTAATACTAATGTATGTTTCCAATGCCTGAATTATAAAGCACTTACCAGGAAGATTCCTCAAGTTATATATAATAGTTGTAATGTCTTCAGGGTCTGTAACATTACAAGTTCTCAGAAATTCTTCAATCTTTTCGTCTGGACGAGAAGCCCAAGAAATTGGCTCTGATCTTGCATTAACAAAATGTGTGGCACATTCAGGAAGATTGATATGGTCAAGGAAGACGGCCCAATTTTTGTTAGCATCTGTCATGGTTGAAAAGAAAGTGCGAAAGTGAATTTGGTTGTTACACTGATTCGTTTGTGACTTTTACTTTATTATTATACGAACTGATGAATCAGATAAGTAAGTCACATGGTAAAATCTTCCTCCGCAGTCATGCAGATCCCATGATCGACAATTAATTTTAGTACATACCGTATCCTCTCGTGAATAAGCACCTATCGTGAATAAGCACCCCCTGATTACCACTATTAGCCACATAACCCTCCCCTCACAAACAGTTTATTACATAATAACACATGACTTATGCTATTGTCAGCAAACAACACGCCAGCACGTACACAAATACAATGCATTTATGGTTACTGCGATTACTGTTAGATAACCCCCTAAAGTTTATTATTTACGTGATGGTTGCTGATCATTTTCATATGATCGAAAGGGAGTACTTATTCACGAGAGGATACGGTACCACATATTTTGAGCATCAGCACCAGCGCCACTAGTTAACTTAAAATCTATTGGTCCTTGAAAAATGTCGACTGATACGTTTTGTTGCAATTTTTGGTATATAAGCGGCCCTTACCCCATCGTCAAATTCTCATGTTGTTCATATTATTTTTCCACTTCACGGAATTAAGATATCAAATAAACGATTCCCTTTGAAATCAAATTTTTACTTTTTTTCATCGTTGCAATATTAATTATTTAACCGGATATTAATAAACGGCTCACTCAAGCTGTAAAAACAAGTGATTTGAAGCTCGGATAGGGAGTTGAGAAGTGCGCATTTAATTTAATTATATAAATAGGTCACTTGTAGATTAGAATTCAGTCTTAATTGAACAACTATCATATTAAGGGCGGTAATACGAAGCTAATCTGGTAACATCCCCCGGTCGAAAGAACACCAATCTATCAAAAGAAAGACTAAAATAAGCCATGGACCCCGCGAAAACTCATAAAAAGAAATCAATACAAAACGGAAAACGGCATATAAACTTACCAACGGCCTTTTATTAAGCATGACAAATGGAAATGAATAATCAAACATCCAGATCATGAAGATATCATTAGAACAATCCACGACCAGGCACACAGCGGAAAGAGATGGACATAGGCCAGTCCAATTCAACAGGCGGGTCAGACAAGTAAGATCGTAACGAACCACCGTCGGCGTACCATATTTATTAATCGTATCTATCATTAAGTCTCCGTTAATGTCATCAGCGCTATCGTTATTGTTGTAATCGCCTTCCTTATTATTGTCATTGATATGCAGAATAGTAATTAAAAACTTTAAATACGCATTCGCAATTGTAAAAAGCCCGAGATCAAAAGATTAATAATGTACTTTTTCTTTTATATTTCTAACAAACGCGTTTAGTTCTCGATGTTCGTTTCATAAATATCATCACGTATAGTTAACCGTGTGCTTTGAAAAGTTTTTGATTGAACGTACCGCTCTTTTCTCCATCAACCACACACCCCAGTCTACGTTACACTATTCAATAAAAAGAGTGTGTATGTTAGAAATAATAAATTTCTCATAGAATAGAAAATTTGATTACGTACATCAGCTGTTTCTTTTACTTTTTTAGTTTCAACTGCTTAACCGGATCCTCGCAACATTTAATGGCCTGATCGAGAATCACATAATAGTTTTCAAGTGCGCGGGATTTGTTCGTAAACGAAACCAAGCGAAAGAATTCGATAGGGGTAGGATTATTGTAAGAAATCATCCAATTTATGTGTTTTTTTTTGTTCATGACATACACTCCCGTCTCAAAAGTCACCGACCACCCCCTACGTTTGTGATTGAATAAAAATACTGGCATAACGAGCAATGCAATTACCATGAAATTGATACTGAATTTAGCGCACTTTATAGGTATCATATGCACAAAGTATTGCAATATGTTAGATAGTAAAATTACGAATTTACCTAGAGTCGACTTCTATTCAACGAAAAACGTTAAAATTAGGGTATGCGAATCAAATATTTAAAAAATCGTTAAAAATCAATCCGCATATAATTTTACATACATTTACATTCATTTAAAAGCGCAAAAAAACTGCTATTAAATACAGGTAAGTTTGGCCAAATATCTAGTTTTTTTGTTGACCCCCCATAAATTTGCAATTAAATGCAAATATTGACACAACAAGTAATGCAATTACCGCATGATTAGTACTGTACTTAGCGCATCTAGTGTGCAACATATTTACAAAAAATTACAATGTGTGCAATATAATTTATATATAACTAGCATTTGTGTCACCGAAAATGATAAAACTAAGTTATACGATCTAAAAATCTAAAGTTATTTAACATATTGATCCACATAATAAATTTACACAAACTTACATTCATTCAAAAGCGCAAAAGAACTGCTATTAAATGCAGGTAAGTTTGGCCAAATATCTTACTTTGTTGAGAAAACAAACTTATAAAATTTAATGAAATTTTCCAAAAAAAAACTTAATTGAGTATATTTTCAATCTGTATATTTATTTAATGCTTGAAACACATTTATTTACACTTGTAAACAAAAAAATATTTGTTAATAATTAGTTGCATAACCTTTAGCTTTTAGACCTGCCTTTACTCTATTGTTCATACTAAGTTTTGGAGCAATCTGAACAACTCTGCTTCAGTTTTCAGTGGCGGTTTTTGTTTCTAATACGTCGTTCAAGTTTATCCCACAGGTGCTCAATAGGATTGAGGTCTGGGCTCTGTCCAGGCCATTTCATCAAACTTATTTCTAAATTTGCAAAAAAATTCATAGTAAGCCTGCTTTTTTGTGGATTGAAGCATTGTCCTGTTGAAATGCATACTCCTCAATATCTTGCTCCAGTCCTTGCATAAATGGCACCAAATGACTTTGCAGCTCTCAAGAAGTCCACTTATTATGTTATTTTTATTGTAGACTAACGAATGGGTCTAAGGACCTTTGGCATTTCAAACATACAATTCCTGCTTACTGTAATAAAAATATGACATACCTAACCTCTCCCATTTCATTAGTTTATTTTTATGTATATAGGGAAAGATCTATATCCAGTACTCATCCAGTTCAACCATCACATGTCCTTAACAAGATGAAGGCTTTTGGCATATGACAATCTTGAGGGTCTCTTTAATGTTCTTGCTTCCTTAAAAGAATGTGTTACATTACATACCAGTAGCTAATTCATAAATAGGCAGTAGAGGTTAGGGCACATTCAATGTCCATAACATGAAATACATGTATTGATACATACAGCCCATTTCAAGACACATTCATAATACCAGACAAAATCTGACATCTCAGAAAAGTCACGGGGAAGATTAGCATTGTCGACCTCATTTAGCCGGTATTTACCTGAATTAAATGTTAGCAACGAAAAGTACATATTCAGTATTCTTGCAAGATAGAATGCTTTCAACAAAATAAACACAACAGACCACAGTAATCAAGATAATACAAATGGAGCTGGAGCCGGAAGCTCTGTCCGCCAAATACGGCTATCCTGCTTGGTATATGCCTTCGATTGTTGATGATTTCCTTGACAATACTGGTGAAAATGTTCTTCAAATTTTTCATTATTTTTTTTGCATCTTTATCATCCTTTGCCACAGGTCTCGAACCTTCAACATACACAAGTTGAAATTTATCTGCACTTGTCATGAAGCCAGCACCATCTGCACAATTGCGATCAATATGATTTTTTGATGGAATTTCTCCGAATTTGTAATGTACCTGAGCTATATGCCAGAGAGCTGCTTCGAGACATGGGTGCACAAAGGCATTTAAGTGCGACTTTTCGATCGTTGCGGCATTGACCAGAGGGTTACAGGTTCCAAGAGAAAACGCCTTGATACTATATGAAAGAAAATATTTAAGAATAATGCTTTATGCACTGGAGAAAAAGCACATGTCAATAATCTATACTAACAACTGTGGCAAGGTTCGTTGCAAAGTTCGTATCACTCCCACCATTATCTTGTCATTTTTGTTGGGAGCCTGCAGATCGTCGATTTTGTTTTGCCACTCTAAACCGGTCAGATCTTGCGAGAAAAACATTGTGAGAAAATCATGAATATTTTCAGGAATCAGAGCTTCAGTTGTCTTGTCAATTTCTGAAAGGTATGAGGTCACCAGCGGCATTGAGAGCTGCATCAGAAAGGGAGACTTGGAACGGAGGTCAATGACTTCATCATTTGGATGATATTTTGTATGGACCACACAAATCTCCTTCGCAGCCTTTGAATATTCAACTGCATTGTTTAGTATGTCCACTATATTAATATCCTGTATGATGGCAACAACATTAATTTAAAAGTTGCATTACAAAGTGTTCATTAATACTTCATTATCTTTTCTGTCATAATGGTCAGTCTTACAGCAATATCATCAGATCCATTGTCTATTTGTGATTGTTGCTTGTTGTGCTTTTCACCTTGATCGCCATCAACTTCGACAATAACGCTCTGTAGTAGAAATATCCTTTGAGTACAATATTACAAGCACTGCAAATCATGTTTAAAAGAGTCATCTAACACTAACCTGACTTTCAACTAACAAATTGAATTTTTTGTGGACGTTCTCATTGGTCTCTTGAATCGAACGGTGAACTCGAGTCTATAAAGCAGGAATATTAGTATTAGCGATCACAAGCCTATGGCTTAAAAGACTTAGAGTACCGCTCTCTTCTCTTGTATCCAAATTTCCCAGTCTTGTTCATATTGTCCGTCCTAATTAAAAGAGAGAACAAGCTTAGAAATGCAATAATATAAACATAAAAAAAACGTATTCGATTATGTACATCAAACTTGTTTCGCATTTTTGTGAGCCTCTTCTGTATTTCCTTATTTTTAGGATTGCACTCCAATGCTGAATTAAGAGTATTACGATACTTCTTAGTTGCACGGTTATGATGAGTTGGTTTTATATATCGATAGAATGCAAGGGGTGTAGGTTTATCACAATTAATCATCCATCTTATGTTTTCTTTTTTAATGCTCTCAGATTTCGGCATTTTTGGTATTCTCTAAATCGTAAAAGATATTGGGTAAGTATCTTGTTGAACAAAACTTATTAATTAGTCATCAAAGTGAGATGTCCTTCACTCAAGACCGGCCATCCACTGATGACTTGCCACTATTGATTGGCTTCCGACAGATCTAGAGATTCCAGTCTGCCCGCTGGCGTCTTTTGTGTCCAACAACCTCATAATAATAACTTTGCGCGACACTCAAAGCCGGCCATCTATTAATGACTTGCCACTATTGATTGGCTTCCGACAGATCTAGTTTCCCAGTCTGCCCGCTGGCGCTTTTCGTGCTTGACAGAGCTATCGAAAAACTATGGAGAAAAAAAAAATCTTACACTACACTCGCCTGAATAATAATTATGTACAAGGAAGAAGCTAGGTACGAAAAATTGTAAACCGAAAAAAAAAATTATTTATTTTATCACATAACACAGATCAGCTGATCAGCTGATGGATTACACAAATAGAAGCTTTAGAAGGGAAGAGAAAGAGATTTTACCTATATTTAGTAGTTTGTGGTTATTATGAAAATATTAACTGGCGGATATGTAATACAGAAGTCACGGGTCGCACGATTGATACAGTCCTACCTATTGCAATAAATCTACCTCACTCAGATATGTATCCCCAGAATCATGTCCCGATTTCTCATGCCCTATAATAATCGTGCATTATATTCTCTATCTACACAAAATACAGAAATATCATGCCACTTTTAATAAATTCAGGCCACATACATCTTGCAGCAATGCTGAAGAAAAAAACTCAAGCGACAAAGAGGAGGCTACTATTTCTGTACAAATGGGAAGAGAAGTAGTTAAAAAAATTTTAGAACAAAGACAGTTTACAACAGAGAGTGATATACGATATATACGTAATATAATTCGACGCTTAGACGAGTCAGTAGAAAGGTCAAAACGCCAAACTTTATTAACAGAACTAGGTAGGGGTTTTTTTGGGGGGCTTCGCCCTCTCCCCGTTCTAGTAATTGAGAATTTGTTAACGATTTAATTTCTAAAAAGGAAATACATGAAGAGTTTGTGTTATTAATCTATAAGCGAGATTATTTGTATACGTAAACAAAGAATGTTTTAGAGTAAGTAATATAATAAGATTATTTAGACATAGTCGAACTGGGCGTTTAAATTATGGCTTTATCTTTTCGTTGCTTTAATTTTTATTATTATTCATTTATTGGGAGGCCGTGGTAAGGACGGTAGTTCTTTGTTTGTTTATTATTAATATAGATAAGACAACATCTCAAACAGGGATGTTTAAATCATATTAAAATCAGATCACGTGAAGATGTTCATCCCCCAATTTTACATCTCGCCTTCCTTGGGGGATATTTACGAACAAGGATACGAATACAGTCAATTTTATGAATTAACTCTACATTAGCATTAATCTCTGCAAAGCATGTCTCTAGTACTGCTGGTTTGTGTTTTGGAATCTTATTAACTTAACTTGTGTCATATTTAATTGAAAGACGGGTAAACATAAACGCAGCATAGCGGGCTTTCTTTATGATTGGTCAGAAAATTACTATTGGTTGGATTTTATTAAAAAATAACAATACAAATAAAATGAAAATTTAGGCGCTTGTTAAAGTATTTAGAGCTCTTGCAAAAGTAGGTCTATATTGTCATCACTTAATGAAAAGTCTTCATTACTAGCATCACTGTCATCAACTTTCACAGCCAACTCATCTGTATGCTCATCTGTAGACACCTCATTGAATGAACTAACACTTTTCTACAATTGTGATCATTCCCTATGCCATACAGTACTGGCATTGGCTTCCTAACTGTAAAAAAAGGCACTCATAGTGATAAGCATACCCACAAGCTAAAACACAGCCTACCTCACAAGAGTTGCTACATTCCTCCTCCAAATCACAGAATATGTTCATTTGAGGAGGATGTGTTGTATTCCAGGCGTTGGAAGTTTACAAATCTTGGATTTTGAACGTACATTTGATAAAATTATTTTCGGTCCGTTAAGACGTCTGTAAAGAGATTTAATAGGAAAAGTGCACTATGTTTTTCAAGATATTCAAGCTGTTTGGCTAAATATCTGATGTTATGGTTCTCAAAAAATACATTTGCAAACAGATTATTACCACGCATGCGATCAATTATTTGCACCCGCTCGCTGAATGATTTGTTCTGCCGTGTTCGATTTCTGTATCTGTCGACGTAGTGAGCTGTGAAAATTTTCAACATAATAGTCATTAAATACATGGAGAGAATCTGTAAGAGCTTGCAAAATAGGATGATTAGTGTTAGCCAGCAAAAACATCACTTAAAAAGGCTAATGGTAACTTATTATAAATTTTACGACGATATTGATAAAATATAGCCCAAACTCGAAACATTGCTTCTTTGTACGCTGGCCAGTTTCCACTGCGAAATATAATAGGATAAAAATCCAAAACCGGCGAAATGATGTTATCTAATAAATTTATAAGATAGTTTATAGGTGTGATTAAAACTTGCGTTTCTAGATAGTTTCAAGTGTTCAAGAGCATCTATATAATCTTTGGTCGAGTGGAGGGATCTTTCTTTTAGACAAACGAGCTTTGTATTTGCCATGCTTCGATCAGTCTGACGTTGTTCGATTCTATCATCGTAACAGTGGATGAAGAGGCGTTCGATTCGTTCATCATGAGTTTCTGATGCTGGTGTAAGACTGATAGCCTGTATAACTAAATAATATGCATGAGTAGAGGGCTCTTGAATAATTCTATCCAGTGTTAATATCTTCGGATATTTTTTAATTGACTATTTGAGTAAACAATATAATCATTACAGCAGTCAATGCAATGCATACTTAATATTATTTACATTACTTTACACGTAAAATAATTTACCTGAGTGACTGAGTATCACCTATCTGCTTATGCCGTCGCTATAAGTGTGTAATAAAGTCATTTCTTGTATGTTCATCAATACATCTATTGTACGTACGTATATAGATGTCATGTGTCAATTTGGAATAATATGTAGATTAGATAAAAAGATATTTATTAAGCAATGTTAATTATGTGTGTATACTAATGTTGTTATAAAAACGGTTGTTAAGGGTTAATTATTATAGCAAGTAAGTGATCGTGTTCTTACTAACGAGTTTATTAGTATGTATTGAAGAGTCTTGACTCTAGGATTATCGAACTCAATTTTGTTTGTTAAGTATAGATATTATTTGCTTGAAATTGACAGTAATTTTGGTAGTTTCGGTTAGATAGTAAAGGTAGTCTCTGTGTGTGGGCTAATCATCTAATCATACGATGGTTTTGCTAGAATGTATTTTTGGTGTTTGTATTTTGATGCTTGTACTTTGATATTTGCATTTGACATGATTTGCATCGAAATTAGCACCTTATACTTTAGTCGGACAGTCAGTCACTGACAATCTACCTTTTCCGTAAAGACTAAGCTCTGTTTATTTTTTTTCGTATTTTGCTATGTGCAAAGTCTGGCTGCTTTCATATAGATCTAGTTTTAGAATGGAGGATTATATGTTTCACTTCACATGACATGGATTTCACATGACTTTGTGTACGATGTAACTGTAATTAATGTTGTACAGATAAACGACTTGCTTCAAAAAGTTAGTTCGCTTCACCTCCTGAAGGCCACCCACCATAAACTTTCCCTTCTTTGGTTCTTATCAATGCGCACATAACATTTTGTGATGCAGCATGAGAAAACAATCGGTGAAAATGCCAACACACCTGTAATCAAATGATTCAAGAGGGAGATATCAATCGCTTATCACAATGTTACTATAACTACTCCTATCACCAACTCTTTAGCATCGGGGATTCCGTCTAGTTTACGAGACGAGGAAACCGATATATGCGAATGAAACCCTCTTATTACATTACTAAATCTACGGAGTAAGACCTCAAAATCCCATTTACCCGATAACGTTCTCTCTGTCGTGGTCAATTTTCCAAGAAATCGTCAACAAAGTCATTCAAGGGGAGGCGGCGTACCAGTATGAGCCCGAGTGTTTTCAAAACATTACGACAAATACTTTTCAAGTACTGCTCATGGATACTATCAGTTTTACGGGACGGGGAAACTAATATATGAGAACGAAACCCTCTATATTACATTACATCTCTTATAAAAGCCCTTTCCTTTACATTACTCATTCAACACTTCTACGAAGTAAGACCTCAGAATCCCATTTACCCCGATAATATTCTCTCTGTCGTGGTCAATTTTCCAAGAAATCGTCAACAAAGTCATTCAAGGGATGGCGGCGTACCAATATGAGCCCGAGTGTTTTCAAAACATTACATACAAATATCAGCGATTCTGTTCAGTTTACGGGGAAACTGATATATGAGAATGAAACCCTCTATATTACATTACATCTCTTATAAAAGCCCTTTCCTTTACATTACTAAATTTAACACTTCTACGAAATAAGATCTCAGAATCCCATTTACCCGATAACGTTCCCCCTCTATCAACTCCCAACTATAACAATCACAGTAACAATGGAATGAATGGCAACTCCCCCAAAAAACTCTCCAACGTATGATTCTTCCAGGCGGCATATCATATACAAAAGGGCACGGCGGACGGCGTTGGATATCTTAACAATGTTTCTAATCATCAAATTGTTTGCATGGAGGGAGCAAAACCGGGGGCGAGAAATGATAAAAATATAGACAACGACAAAAAGAACATCAAAAACATGATACAATTGTTTAATAATATAATTGTATCAGAGGCTTCAGAACAAAGACAAATATACACGGGTCTTCGAGTATATGGTGCCACCGCTTATAATACCGAACTCTCCCTTACAATGCTTGATTTACGTGGTATGTAATATGCGAAATTGATGTTATAATTGACCTATAAATTGACTAATTCAATTTTGTTCGATTATCAGGAACATATCGTTTATTTGAAGTGGATCGTTTTAACCTCCCAAAAGATTGGGCAGATATGCGTTCTTTATTTGTTTACACCTACGATTGAACGCTAAAGGTGTACTAGATTGGGCAGATATGCCCAACTTTGTCTTTGTGTATGAAGCTCTAATAAAGTGGGCGGTAAGTATATATGCGCAAATTTATTATCTATGAAAGTCACAACGTAGTAATAATCAGATAATAATTATGCAGTTGTGTGTCCATCGTAGAAAGAAAATTTGATTTCCCAGCGCTAAAAGAGAAAGATGGGAAGGTACTCAGAAGCAAGAATTGCCAAAAAACTCGCGCGCGTCTAACATGATTTATTTATACAATGTATATAATTCATACCGAAATGTACTGAGAATGAGAAACGGAGCAAGAAATTTTACTGAACTTGGGTCGTTCAAATTTTCCAGGGCAATACTCGAATCTTAAGATCTTTGTCACAGAAAAATATGATCATTTATATTTTACCGATGTGATAAAATACATGTAAAAATTGACATGATTATATATACGTGGGGTTGGCTGAAAAGTTCTGATCGTGGAATTTTATCTTGACAAGTGCTGGTTTTATCTAAAAATAAAGACAAAGATTCAAAGCTTGAGATTTTGAGGAACAGGTGAAAAAAAAGTTAGTGCGAGTTGTTGGTAGCATCCATTTTTCATAAGTAGACTAAAACGATTGGAAAAAAAAACCGATTTAAACATAATTTTCAAAAATTCATTTTCCCAGCCTTCTATGCATGTCTAAACCACCGTTAGAGATTTACGCAAGTTGAAAGTGCAAGAGAAGGCGTCTTGATAACACACATTATCAATAGTTGTATACACAGTTATGGATTGTAAACATTACTTATGACAATAGTTTCGGAAGTAGTATGAGAACTACCCACATAGTGTAGTGTTTGCTATTCGGAAATACTGCAAAATCACCGATTACCCTGACAGATAGGGTATTATAACTTGCAATTCCATTCTATTAACATAAATCCGTCATATGGCAGCTGCCGTATTCCATACATCCCCTTTTGAGTTTGCAGTGTATCTTCCGATATCACGTGGACATCAGTTACAGAACCATTGGATAGAAAGGCCACTCTCACGAAATCATACGCATAGTTAGTCATACTATTAGGGATCTCTACAATACAAAAGTATCTTGTTCTATCGACAGCTACTTTGCACCCGTAGATAACTACAGTAGTAGTATTCAAATTTGTGGGGTTGTGGGTTCTGCCAGACTAGATAAGATGTGTCGAACTGTAAAGTGGTAGGTTGCCAGAATGTAACATACAAAGACCATTGCGGAATACTTTAGAAATAAGTGGATTCTGAGTACACTTTTTTAAAAGGGCTCTGCCATAACTGTGGGAATAATTTGGCAACTTTGCCATGAGACTGACTACCTTTGTATAATTGGCGCATGCGTGCTGTTGCTATGTTGAAAAGCATATTGATGATCAAATCGAGTAGTTGGGCAAATTACCAAATTTTAATAGTTGCTTCCATAAACTGTATTATTTTACAAGAAAACCCTTGTTCGGATTGACATTAGCTTTTGCAATATGCCCAAAAAAGCCGACCGGAATATCAGCGTCACACACTATCCATATATTAATTCAACAATGTTTTTCATACATCCTATTCACCTACTGACCCCTCTTCGTTTAGATGTGTTCTTGATTTCCAAATAGTCCTTACCGTTGTAAACCTGAATTATAAGCACATATCCGTCATTAAAAGCGGGCGAGCATACCGTAAGTATAAATCAGGATCATAGAAGTAAGTTTTGTAAACGTGCCGTTTGGATGTAGCAGACGTATATACAAAATCGTCAAAGTTGTCAAGGTCAAGGTTTTGCAATTTGATCAATCCTGCGCCATCTGGGTACGTAAAACCATTACTCATAAAGTCAGTGGTAAGAAAGGACGGAAAATGGCCAGGGTCTTTGTATACTTTTACTATATGCTTGTAAAGGGCCAAGAAATATGAACAAACAGCAAGAGATAGCGAAATTTGTTGATATCATAATACGTGCAAGAATGGGATGGAACTGAACTGAATTACGATCTTTGAGACTCCTGAACTCTTGTGTTGCTGCAGGCTAAATTTCTATTTCTGATGGTTGTACGACTATAATACAGTGGCGAACCCCTAGGTGCAACCCCTAAGCGCACGTCGGTGCACGGCAGAAAAGCCGTCAGCGTGCACTTAGGGAGGTCTTATACTGTGCTATACAATGCTCCTTTTATAACACCTCTTATGTACAAGCAACGAAAAGATAACAGCCATCTGTTTCATTACTCATAACATGAATGCACTTTGCTTTGCAGTTTGCACCGATGCTAGGGCTACTTTCATCTCCGTCAAGGAAATAAGCGCTTTTCTGGAATATTGTCTTATATATTAATATTCCGCCTCAATGATTTCCAAGTCATCCCACTCTCCATCCAAAACGTCTATCACTCTGATCTAATTATGTAATTATGACGCTCTTTTGTTGCGCCAGGTTCACATTTTGATCCACTCTCCCTGATTGGCTGGATGTTGATTATGGTGAACCGTGCAATTACCTTTCGCATTTATGAGGTTTGCATTTATGGGAGGTTTCCTTAATAGGGAAGAGATTTACGTCTATTAAACAGATTTCCTTTCTTATAATTTCCACAAAGAATTACTTTGTTTCATCGAATTTTACCCGTTTCTTGCAAATGAATCTCTAAATTTTTACATAACTGCTGGCTGGCCTCTCTTGTTGGATTAGAAACGTCTTTATGTTTTCAATGCCTCATTAGATTCACTATTGGAGTTTCATTGCTATCGCTTCATCGTGTTCTCACTAATAATATTGCCACCTTCAGAAAGCTCAAAAACGACATCTTCCCCTGAAAAAGACAAATACTCGTTGCATCAGGAAGATTCATACTCACGATGGACTCGGTTCGTCTGTCTGAAAACTTGATAACAAATTTGTGATACATTACAAACAATATTACGTGAAGTGAATTACACTTAAGGAATAAAACTACCATATTTAATATTAATATTAATATTAATATTTGATATGCATATTGAGGGGGTACCTACCCCCATATTGAGTACCCTACGCCCCTCCCCCTCCCGCCTCTTTTGTGTACTTTACTGGAATAGACTAGAACGGACTGGGGCACAACCATTAAACATATCAAAGTATGTGTACGATATAAAAAAAAGTTATTGCGCAAAGACCAGTCGATCCATTTCGTATAATCAATGCTATGAAAGATATATTATTTCAAAATATCGATGTCAAGACTGATTTCCAAACACATCTGTTAATCATCATCCCAATAAACTGTCGTATTTGCATAGGTATAATCATCCCCAACATCATCAACATTTGAGTCATCAACTATGCACAAAAAACCAAAAATAGATTGCACAATGGCGGATATACGTTTAAAAGATTTTTTTTATCGTATGTCCCATACGTTCCACTGACGTACCTTCTCAGTTGTATTCGCATAGCGAATATTTTTGTTGCCGCGCATAGACATATTGTGAGTGATTGCTAAAAATACACATTAAATTAATTCGTACCCCCTCACGCAGTGCCCCTCCCCTCCTCACGCAGTACCCCCTCCTCACAGGGTACTCGAAAATGGCGTGGTTCTCCGCTTTAGCCTACCCCCATTTAAGGAGATTGGAGGGTTTCACAGCTGCTTGTAATAACAGTACCACCAACGATCAATTCCATACCGAGTAAACAAATTTTCATGAGTCTTTTTTTGTCGTTACTACTTACGTCAACGCCAGACAAAGACAAACAATTGAATATTACACGGGATGCTTATCCGGATAAGCATATTGAAAATCCATTGCATGTTTTTTCGTCATAACATCTTAATATTAGCGTTAATTAAGGGGTACTGATTTATTTTTAGCAATCGTTGTAGACTTTGATTCCGCCAATCAGACCATCAGCTATTGTGATGTGGGTGAAATGCTGGGAATTGTTTGTTGTAAGTCGACAAACGCAGACAGTGACAATTAGTTTAACTTACGTATTCATTAAACTATTGTTAGGCAATTCAAAAAAGTAATTTGGCATTTACCCTCCTCCAATGAGCACTCGTAAATAAATTATTGTTTTCATCAAGCCATTTTAGTAATGGCTGCGATACTTGCATGCTCAGGAACCAAGATGCCGATATTGGCTCACGTCTTTACAAAGAAATTGTAACAATCTAAAAATACCTTTAGAATGGTTACTATTTATTCTCACACTATTAATAGAACGCACCTTCAGTTGATATACCGCCCGGTTTATTATAAAAGAGATGGCATTTCCCTTTCGTTGTCAGTAGTTTACATCCGATCTCGTAAACTACCAACTACATCCAACACTAATTACCGAAAACAAACAAAAAAAACCAACAAGCAAAATGAAGGCTCAACTTGTTATCCTACTCATTGTTATGTGCTTGGCTTTTGAATGTTATGCCGCTCCTCATCCTCGCGACTTTTGCAATATCGGTAAGTTAAAACACTAAAATTAAAACGGTTCTTAACATTTACAAAGCCTTTCTTTTTACAATAATTCTCTTTTTTATTTATCTAGTTCTCAAGGGACGGAACACACACGAAACTGGTGATGGAACTTCCGGTTGCTTCGGTCTTGACAGCTCTGACCCGATAAAGAAAGTTATACTTGGCAAAGCTGGCAGTTCGTTTAAACTTTTCAGCGGCTTTGGCTGTAAAGGAAGCGTCGTTCGCCACGGTTCCAGCAATAAATCATTTAACCCTGCTGTCAGGGCTAATTCGGTCAAATTGACCTGTCCTTCCACTCCCACTCCATAGATATACATTGCATTGGATTACGGATAAATTAGACATTTAATTACATGTTGATGATATATATTTTTTGTTAAATTGGTGCAAGATGTTTAGTTGGATCTAATCAGTGTTCTAATAATAATCTATTAAATGAAATTGTGCGTACGCTAAAAAAGGTTGCTTACAATGTAATTTTGTTAGATTTTGATTAAAGCTTGCACATACACTTTATGTTTTTGGCCCAACACATATAATTGTGCGCTTCGCAATGTCTACAAGTTCGTACGTACAGCTTTAATAGTGACAAAGTCGTGTAACAATTTGCCTGGTTTATTTGTAATAGAGCACGAAATAATTGGATGCCACAACAATAACGTTACACCTTTAGTACTTACCAACATTTCAATATAGAAAATCGATAGACTTTTAAGTATTATCCATAAATAGATACGATCTTTGCTAGAGTTGGATTCTAATTTACGTCTGTCGGAACCAAAATCTATTTGTGTGGGTATTTGGAGAAACTACACAATTGAAGAACGCACCAATTAACTTTCTAATATGCACATTTTGAGATTACGCAGTAGCGATCTGTGGGTTACAGGCTAGCCCCTTTTTTCACATAAACTTTCTACATGATAATCGTGGAAAGCTTTGCTATGTCGGCTTGATAGAACATAATTTCCTAATTTGATTAGTTGATTTAAGGGACCTTCTCAACGGCTTTGATGCCCTGATCAAATTTGGAAACGTATACAAGTAGGGCATCAGTATTAGTTCTCAACAGCCTTTCTAAATAGAGTAATATTGTGTGTGACAGATAAAATTAATAAAACTTGATCATAATTAAAAATTCGTGTGAATAAGTCGAGTTCATGTAAAAATAAACAATTTCCAATTTAGTCGATGCCCCCTACCTACCTATTTAGGGCAATAATTTCCAAATTTGATCGGCCCTAAATTTGTGTGCGTTCTCATCAGTACCCTGCCATACATATTTAGTAGTAGGTAATCTGGCAATAGATTGGAATTTTGCGTTCTTTATTTGTTTACACCTACGATTGAACGCTAAAGGTGTACTTCTGGCAATAGATTGGGGGAGGTAGAGGGGAGGTAATTTACCTCCCCGAGTGCTAAGCAATCTCCCCTACCAAATTTAGTAACGAAACGTTACCAAATCTGGACTGGTTAGAGCACCCTATATCATAATAGGCTGCTTGCGTCTTATGCCTGGGCTAGTCAATAATGATACTTCCCAAATGTAGTAGTGGAAGCAGCTATTCCTTACCAATTTAGTAACTCGAAGCGTTACCATATCTGGTAGGGGAGGTGTCTTTGTTATGTAGTACAAACTCTTATTTATCAAAAGTTTAATTTAAGTGTCAGTAACAATTAAGTCAACGGAAAATAACAGAACTATTTTACCTCTGACCATCTAGTAGGAAATCTAAAAGCTATCGTCATCGGTAAAGAACATTCCCTCAAACAAGCTCGATTAGCTATGACATCAGAATAAGCTCACCCTCCCCCCACATCAAACATCGTGCGAGGGTTAACTATTAATTTTGCAACTGCATTATCAGGAATAAAATCGAAACGCACCTTCATAAAATGAGATTAACTAATACGATTTTTTCATTGCAGATAGTAATCAGAATGTTTTTTCTGATTAGCCAAATGTCCGCAGCGTTTATGGTATGTATTTTACATATCGTTGTTAAAAATCACAATAATATAAGCAATTATCTTTGACATTAAAAATTATTGCGTTAGTGATATTTTTACACGACTGCTACGTACATAGCATGACCACTAGATTTCTGTTCGCAGTGTATAACAAGTAAACTATAGCTAATTAACGCACAATATCAATATGCAAATACACTAACAATTAAGTAAACTTTATTATCCAATAAACAGTATACACGGATACATTACTAACATGATATTAATGTATGGTCTAAATTTATCTCATAATAAACAGAAACATGTTAATAATATAATTTCAAACTACTTCCTACTACTGGGTCTGGGCAACTTAGTTTTATGGAACCGGCTGGCAACGCAGGAGCAAAGTAGGTGTCACTCGTGCCAGTGTAAATAAGGTTTGTGCAGTTTGCACCATTGTAAAGTTTGTAAACAACATTTTTGTCAGCACTGGCCTTTTTTATGGAAAAACGACTAAAGTCGATGCAAGCATTAGATGCAGCTTTGGTTACTTGGGTAGAGTTGTCAACACTTTTGAGAACTAAAATAAAAAATTCCTGTTAATACGAAAATACATTTAAATCACGAACAAACTCTTACAAATTTTATGTTTACTTACCAGCCATACAATCTTGTACCAGTGGTGTTGCTGTTGTTGTTGGTGTTGGTGTTGGTGTTGTTGTTGGTGTTGGTGTTGTTGTTGTTGTTGGTGTTGCAGTTGGTGCCATTACCGGTGGTTTCGGTAGTTTCGGTAGTGCGGTTGCCGTTGATGTCGGTGTTTCGGCATAGGTTCCAGCGGCCAAACTGGCAATCAAGAATACGAGGAATATGAGGATTGATTGGAATTTCATTTTCTTTTTTGTTTTTGCTTGTGAATGGGTTTAACAATATTAAATTATGTGTGTAAATGTAACACGATAAGATGTGTGAGCTGGCTGATGAGTATTACCATGAGGAAGCAAGCCTTCTTTTTATAAGAACTTGGATCCTGTAAAAATAGAACATTTTGCAGAGAAAACTTTATAGCACATAATTATTTTTCAAGTTTTCCGTCCGAATCAGATCATTTCGCAAAGGCATAATGTCGGGAAAGCGTCTCAGTTCTGCATGGAATTGTAGCGCATGTCTGGCGTTGTCTATTGTGCGTGAGGTAAAGCTTAGCAGCACGGGAATCATAATGGCAAATCTTTTAAAAATAGGTACCTACATTATTGATCATCTATTTCAAGCAGCAGCAATTAACATACTTGGCATCTATTTCAAGCAGCGGCAATTAGCATGATTTACAGATCCAGCCTGTCTCGTGCCCGGCTTGTGCAACGTAGATCTTTCCTTTATTTATATTCGCCAAATCGGCCCTTTTGAGTTTTAAAGTTTATTATTGCTTATTGCTTATGCTTATGTTTAGGCTTATTTGCTTATTACTTATTGCTTATTGCTTATGTTTAGGCTTATTACTTATTACTTATTACTTATTACTTATTACTCATTACTTATTACTTATCGCTTATTACTTATTGATTATTGGTTATTGGTTATTGCTCATTGCTTATACTTACACTTAAGCGTTAGCTTATGGACAAAGGTCGCTTATATAACATTGTTGATATTCCCGCAGTGTTGTTTTTCGACTTGCAATAACTTGCAATAACGCACTATTTGTTATTTATTCACTATCGCCCAAATGGCGAATCTCGCTTACTGTCTGTTAAATTTGTTGTGTGAAAAAGTCTGTATCGGTTTTCTTGTATATTAATATGTATTTTCTTAATTTTTACACTACTGTCACAGCCCAAATGACAGCTCAAATGAATTACTATATCTGGCAGATCGATTAATCTTCCAGATCGTCATTACGCTAAATAAACACCCGCAAGATAGATAATAATGCAACGGGCCTCGTGATTCTCACGTCTTGCCGTATTAGGCCCTGCGATTCATCTTTTCCGTTTTTGCTTTGCACTAACTATGATCCGATTTTCTGCTGATCATCTTCGCTCAATTTCATTTATATCTTTCCTATATATTTTGCGAGGTCTCAGCCTCGATCTCGGCCTCTTTCATATATCTTTTGCTTAAATCTCTCACGAGATCTCAGCCTTTACCTCGGCCTTGGCATTCTCTCACCCCACCCACTCCCACCTCCTACTATTAGACGAATACTCATATACTTTTCACATCACACATCGAAACTTTTCACACAATACAAATACGAATACGATTATATATGTAAGAGTAATATTATCTGTCGATAAAAATAAATGCTATATATTACAGTCAAATTAGATGTTGATAGTTATTTTTAGACATCGATAAGACATCAACTTCACTGATTA